TATATATATATATAACGAATGTCCAGGGTCTTTCACAACTAAGTGCGCTACCTTTGCAGCTTGGAAAACACACACAATAGGAAGGGTGAGTTAAAAAACAGAGCTTTGATCCTGTGTTTCATACAGAAACACACAAACATGCGCTCAAAAAAACTACTCTTTTAGGAGTTATAATATTATGACTTTGTTCTTGTGATATTATGACTTTATTGTCATACAGTTTTTTATCGTAATATTATGACTTTATTCACATTATATTATGACTATCTCGTAATTTTGACAAAACAAATCTTGTAGTGTGGTCTTAATAATCCGTCGTAGGGGTGCATCACGGTAAAATAGAAAAAAAAAATTAAAAATCAAACACTGTTGTTCACAGTGTTTAGCTGTGTGTGGGCTACTATGGAGTTTAACGTCAAAGCTTATTTTATTAAAAACATTTGTCTCATCGGATTTGCTTGATTTGCACCTCACAGTCTAATTGCTTTTTTGGTATCAGTTTCCATTTTCCTGCATCTAATAAATGCCAAAYTCAGTGGTTTGACTTCAGTTTTGTTAACTCAAAGATTGATAACGTATAAGAAAGTAAGTCTAGTGCATGAATCACATTAGTGAGAGCATTAGCCTAATTTAGTCCTGAAATATAAACTTAAATAGTTCAAAGTGCCCACCCACCAGTGTACTTTTGGTTATTTGAATATTTACAGAAGTAGAGAATTTAAGCCAATGTAAAGCAGCAGAGTCTGATACCAATGTTTCAAACAACTGCATTCTCACAGGGGAATATTATTACAGATTTTTGGGAACACTTTCTTTCTTTCCTTCTTTCCTTCTTTCTTTCTTTCTTTCCTTCTTTCTTTCTTTCTTTCTTTCTTTCCTTCTTTCTTTCTTTCTTTCTTTCTTTCCTTCTTTCTTTCTTTCTTTCTTTCGTGTCATGGAAAAAGTAAAACCTAAAGAAATGGTTGAGGGGAAAAGTAAGAAACATTGTGAGCAGTAAAGCAGGGAGGAAATCAAGCACATCAAACTTTTAGAGAATAACATAAAGCTAGAAGCAAGTATGTTCTTTAATGGAAGAAAAAAAATTAGCATATAATTTATAAGCCTTCTTCCTGCACCACCTCTCAGTTTAGTATAGGAAGGCTGTTAAAGGATATTTTATTACAAAAAGGGAAGTGCATGCATGGCTCGCAGAGGAGATGTGATATGATTTAGTTTGATATCATTTCCCATCCTCATCTTACTGAAATCTGGGAATAATTTACTCTAATAACTTAATGGAAGAATATAATCCAGAGGAATTTATCACTGAACTGTTTATGGCAAGAAAGGAGGACAAATATATTTTATAGAGCCAAATCAAGTCAAGAGAAGAATCAAATCTGTGCAGTTTAACTGTTTTCTTTTTCTTTTTTGTGACTTCGTTTAGTTTCTTAGTTTTTATTTATTTATAAAGCCCCCTTCATACTAAAAGCAGCTCAAGGTGCTATACATTATGCACAATAAACCCATAATATAAAACAACCAACAACAACACCCCCCCCCCACACACACACACACCAAAATAACAATACTAATAAACTGATACAGTACGCTACCAAAAATGTGGATTAACATATCTTATRGGCCTTTTTCCTGCACTAACTCACAGTTTAGTTTAGGAAGATTGTTTAAAACTATATTTTATTGTTTGCATTCATCTCTGTAAAAGAGAAAAACGACTTCAGAATCTCTCACATCCATTGTTGCTCCTGTTTCAGTATTTTTCGAAATGCGATGATGCCACAAAATTCAAAATGGTTTTATTTGTTCCTAATGTAGTGATATGCTGTTTTGTCGATGTTACGGACAATGCTATATCATAAATACCTCGTAATTATTAGCATAACAAAAGG